GTTTTGGGCTTCCCCGAGTTAATGAGTGAGCTTAGCTTTACGCTAGTGATATTTGTGACCGTGAATTCTAATAATCAGACGAAATGCTCGTACAAATTAAAGAAGTTAAATTTCAGTGATTTTATAATGGGAGAAGGATCAGTAAATCACAAAAGTGACTCACTTACTAGAGATATTAATGGCCAAAAGATTAGACCTTGGAATACAACTAAATACCAATACATTGGCTCTTATGTTGTCGTTTCCTTTTAAAGCTGTTGTCAGAACATCATGCAAAACTCTATTGGTCGCTGGATTTACCTCAAGTGGATCATACTCTTTGAAGATCAATGGCTACTCTTTTCAGGTAGAATGAATCAATACCCAGTTGAACCTCTCTATGACACGGGCACCCAAGGGAAAAAATTGTTCGTATAAAGGGGGTGTCCGTTTTAAAAAGGTCCCCACGATAACACCATTTCTAAGTCCTCACTAACAGGCGCTTGCCTGTATTACATTTTACAGTTTTAAGACGCTGTCTACCATGGCACCCAAAACTGTAAATAAAACATTTCTGAAAAACACATATTGTAAATAGAATAAGAAAGACAGTGAGTTTTGAGCTCGGCAAAAAAAATGGAGAAAGATATTTTTCGTCTTGTCACGAGCGTGGGAAAATAAGGGACTGAACCTCAGACTTTTGGATTCCACGCCCCAATGCTCTACCACTGAGTCACAGAGACTCTATGGTAAGCAAGTCCCGTTACGAAGTTCATAGATGACACGCGTCCCGCATACTGCTAGGATCGGCAATTTCGATGGCGTCTGTTGAAGTCGATGGCGTCTGTTGAATGCGATAAGGCGTCATGTTTAGTCATATATATTATTTACTATAGCAATGAAAAATAGTTAGGGTAAACTATTGGTAAAAGGAAGATCTTTATTTCCTTCAAAACTCGAATGTACCAGTAAGTTTCACTGTATTGATCTTTTTTAACTTGTTGTTAGGAATTGCTGTTTCAGTGCTTGTAAAGTTGCCATTAACCCTAAATGAGTAGATCGTATATAACAAACTAATAAGGTGAATTCCTAACAGGGGAGACACCTTTTTACCTACATCCTAAAGTTATATCCACCCACTTTCATGCAGGTATATTGCGACATGACAGGAAATTCAGGTGGATGGACATTCATTGCTCGGTTTTCAAACACAGACAGGAACAATTGGATGAGAGATGACGCATACTGGTGGTACGACATCCTGTCCTCACAGGGGTCCCCCACAAGCACGTCCACTAACTCTGACATGGTATCAGAAGCATTCTGGAATGTGAAAGGAAGCGAGATAAAAATCACTCGCAGTGACGATAGTTCACACTCTGCTCTTCTTCGTACATACACAAACTGCTTTGGTGGAGAAACATTTAGAGGATACATGTCCTCATATGGAAGGTTTAGTTACCGTAATGCTTGGTCCAATGATCAGTGCCTTGGTAGCTGCCCGGTGCATTATGATGGATCGTACCAGTTCACTATTGGTTTTAGTCAAGCGCACTGCGGTAGCAATATTCAAGGAAGCTACCGCATTGGATTCTGGTGTCAGTGGAGCACTGGCGATGGTTCAGTTCTTATGTTTGGAGGAGGAGGGAGTGGATGCGGCAGAGCGGATCATGGTATCGGGATCACTGAGAACAACTACGGAGGATTTGAAGAATGGTCTGATAGTGGGGAATATGATTTTGGAGGTGACGCCAACAGCTCGCCTACTACTTCTTATGCCTTAAATTTATGGATTCGTTAGAAGAAAAATAATTCATTGTTGATCTTAATCCACGTATGATAACAACACGTAAACAAAAAAGATCAATTTTTAGTAAACTAAAAAGGAAACCTTAGCCTTATACTTAGAAGGCTCTATCTTCTTTGATTATGTAAAAATTATTTCATCAGCACGCGTTGATCATGAGATGGTAAATAGCCAGCGAGGCGCGTAACACCGAGTTGGTTTGAAATAATCTCGTATCCAACAAGCGTGAATTGAATAGTTTTTTTTTTTTAATCTTCCACCTAGGAAATAGGCTAACAATTGTCAGTGCCTTGGAGTTGCAGCGGCGCCTGACTCTGCTTTTGCATCTGGGTCCAGCGGTTGGTATGAGTATGGGAGGGGGAGGGGAGACATGCTTTGATGTGATCTTTCACGAGATATTGTCGTTGCGCACCAGGTTGTTGGTCGCAGATCTCATTTACTGAAGCAGATCTACTTACTATTTTTTTCCTATTAATCTTTGAACTTTAAAAACTCTTAAATACCTAAAACTGCTTGTAGTTGATGACTCATGTCTCTATATCAAATACCAAAATTACTTAAAAAACAGAAGAATTTATACCTGTATTGCGATACGAAAATACCAATAACTAAAAAAAGAAAAAGAACTGGAAACAAGTCACAACAGATTTGACCCAATCAGACATTTTTTGTCGGTAAATTACATTTTAAAGAACGCTTATGTTAATCTAACTTAGAATTCTCGTAGCTTAATTATATTTTGATCATCTCGTGGTTTTTTTTTTAACCAAATTCCTTCCTTGTTGTAATGCACACAGTGTCTTTGTGTAGAACATCCGTCTCACAGAGAGGTATGAGAAAGTCCAAATTGCTACCCAAAAAGCCTTAAAGTTTTGTAGCTTCAAAAGCTTCCTAAAAGTTCTAACGAGGCAGCTTGTTATTTACATTTTTTCCTGCGCGTTGAAAAATATTTGAAGAATAAAATACACAATAGCCTCGTATAATTGTTTTTCGACAATATCTGTTCCTGGAAGCTCGCAGTTTTCGTTGAGCTTCGCTCTTTGCAAAACTGCTCCCATCTCAGAACAGGTAATGTCCGCGGATAAATATCTGTGTATATTTTTGCGCTAAATGGAGGATATTGGCTATATATACTAGAAAATTGAATAGCAGCAGAATATAAGAAGTGCCATATTGAATGGTTTGCCATATGAAATGAGCGGACACTTAACTCAGTCATTACTGATATTTTTTTAGTTCCTCGCTCGAAAAAATAGTACGCAACTCGCGAAATATCTGCTCTCTTATACATTATTAACCCATCGAATAAAAAGTATATTTCTCGAACAAAAAGGACAGTTCTAGCAGAAAAGATTGGTGAGTACAGTATGGTCGTGATCATGAAAGGAATCGAGTAAAGTGAAACAAATAATTTATGAAATAAAGGTGATTATTGTTAAATTTATGAAACTTTGAAATTAACATATAGCGCATTTCCGTTCAATGGCTGCCGCTGGCCATAAAGCTTGAGGAAATTTAAAATAAGTGGGGAGAAAAAGAAATGAGGAAACTGACGCCTCTTATGCTTACTAGGAGACCTGTCAGGGCCAAATAGGACTGAAAAACATTTTGATCCACCAATGTCCGCCGTTTCCCAACATTTGCAATTGAACACCCGCAATCACTGACAACAATTATTCCCTCAGTGAAGTGAAGGTGAATAGTACTTGCTAATTACTTCCGAAATAGCCAACTTGCTCACGCGAAAAGCACTATTTACCTGTGTTGTATATACTAAAGACGATTAGGCTTGTTACATTGTAATTTGGTTTCATCCCGAAATAATAAAATATGGCTTCTGACATGGGAACCAAACAGAGGAGGTTAAAATACGCATAAAATTACGATCGTGCAATGAGCATGTTGTCCCAGATGGAGTTGAACAGTGCGCAGCCAAGCTTAACTACAGTGTTCCCTTGGGTCAAGTGCAAACGAATCATGGACATCGGGGAAGTACAGGGTCAATTCTCGTTCCAAATTCTTAAAGTATCAGGCTGTGAACTTACTTGACTTTCCCGAAATGCAAAGTGGTGGGGTGGATACAATCATTGTCAAAAGTCTCTTTGTAATTTGTACAGAAGACGCGATGGTAAAAGTATTGGAAAACTGTCGTCAAGTTGCTACACATGGTAGATTATTTATTGTTAACAGCTGCAACCGTGAAGCCAAAGATACGGAGCCWTAATGTAACCAAAACTGGTTTATAGCAAGGTTTACGTGGTATGCACGTCATGACGATGAGTAAGTTGGAACATTTTAGAACGAAGAGTGAGTGGCTGAACTTGATTGACAGGTTGTGCAGTAGAGTGGCTTTTCAACTGAACGAGACTGCGACGGTCCTACATTGTTTGAGCTGTTAAGATTCCACTAGACGATTTTCTACTCTTTTTTTATTTTAAAGAAAACTCTAGTTGCCGTGTTTAAAGTGGGCTTCTTTACTTCAAGTTGATGAACTTAATAAATGAATGGACTTTTGACTTCTGTTTGCCGTCTTTCAACATAGGCTGAGAAATAAAAGCACGATTCAGAAGTGCATTATCCTTTCTCGCAGAACAAAAGATGTCACTTATTAGATCTTATTAAAAGGAAATTAAATTAGGGGTTAAGGGTGATGTCTATCAATTTACAAAAACACCGATCGGACCCTAAAATTCCGAAGGTGACAGCATTGAATGAGATGATTCAAGACAATTCTTGAAGATATTGATGTGAGCTCCCTTGCGCTTCATTATTATTATATATCCCTACACCTATGGAAGAATAAAACGATTTTAGACACAGTACTGTTACTGTATATGTTGCAAATAAAAATGTGGAACAAGGAGTTGGGTGTAAGATGTTCATTACCTCGAGTCCTTGTTATATGCTGGCAAAAATCCACCAGAGAAAATTTGAATCTGTCGAAGCATGTGCGATACATGATCCGCTGACTAGAATTGAATAGAACATTTTTGCGGATAACTTTCAAGGTCTTACCAAGGCTTTTATGGGTCAATCTGCGTATGCAGATAGCTGATACTTAATAATTCTCAGAAATTGGACACGTCACTTTCTTTAAACTTTGCTGATCAAAGTAGAGATTCTCAAGAGTAGTACAAAAATTCGAAGTGTGCTGATTCTCTTTTTTCCTTATTTATGCCTTTGATTTAAAAAATCACTTCCTCTCAAACTATTTCGCGGAAAGAAGTATGGAGAAATTATGGCTAAATCAGACGGTAGAATGAATATAAAGGTAATGGGAAACATTTGCCAGAAACACAAAGGGTCCGTGAAGCGTACGAGCTTGAACACTGCTCCTTCCAGTTGTCTGTCGTTTAACCGCAAAATGGGGGTGTTTCCAGGATCTCACATATTGGCGGTGCTTCTGGTTGTATGGGAAATTTCGTTTATGGTTGAAGGTAAGAGGAACTACGTAAAAAATCATTAGACTCTCCCATAATTTTCTGGCGAGAAAAGTGATCGAAAGATTGGATCGAAAGTGAAGATTAAATTGGAAGCGTTAAAAATTAGATGGTATACCTTTGCATTTGCGAAGAGATTTTCACTAAATACACTTTAAATTCTATTGTTTCATTTATTATTTAGGACAAAGTCTGGTCCAAGATGGAAAGATCAACTTCACTGCGTACTATCCTGACTTGCTTTATTGCACGAACGTGCAGTTCCCTCGTGCATTCTCCAGCTCGAGAAATGTGCGGGTGATCACATCCATCAGCTATGAGTCCAATACTGGCAGCGTACACGACTCTGCTGTTGTGTGGACGTCAGACGTGGCACAGAGCAGTTTTCGCGTATGTGTGTTAGAGTCGGGACCTGGTACAAATGGATCAGCCGTCGTGAACTGGATTGCATTTCGGAGCGCTCCTTCTGGAATTTTGGATGGAACCGCCTCCTTGAGTGCATTTACCAGTGGAACAAAATGTGAAAGAGTTACCTTTGCTCAGGTACGTGTATGACCTATTCAGCTTTAAAGATGCATCGTCTCCGCGACCAAAAACAACAGCACAAACTGCTAATTAATAACTCTTCGTGTAGCATGTTTTCAACTGCTTTACGCATTGTTTCTCTTTAACTAACTATACCAATGTCAACGTTCAAAAGAGTTTCTTAGAAAAGAGTGCTATTTCTTCGAACAAAAGAGGGATAGGCAGAAAATTTGTGGAAGGTAGATGTATGAAATTCCTGTCTAGACGATGGACGTCATCTGGTTTTAAAAATAGATGCTGTGGTACCTGTAAACGTCTCAGCTCTAATTAGCGCTATATTGTAAATCCGTGTTATTTGATTTCATATTTTTTTTTCTCAGCACTCAAGGATTTGTGACAAGTTGTCGCTTACCTTAATAGATATTGCTGAAAGTTTGCTGACATTTCGTAAGGTCAAATCTAAACGTGATTTGTAACAGGTCCGAGTTCAAGAAAACTATTCCCTCTTTATCCTCTTTTCAGCGATTTGCGTCAATTCCAAAAGTGCTGGCTACAGTGCGTCACTCTGTCAGCAACAAGGCGCAGGAGGCTATGAATGTCTGGATTGAAGAACTGAAGGCCGATTACTTTAGAGTGTGCCTTAGGGAAGTTAAGACATTTGATGGAAATCATCAGAATTTAAAAGTGGCAAGTTTCACCAGAGTAGTTTTACTTCATAGAAACATATGTAGAAATATTTTTGTTTTGTTCTTTGAGTGGATTTTGCTGAATAAATGCTGAAGAAACAGGATTCAGGAATTTTTTAAGCGGATTATGAAATAAGTATGTCAGGGCCTTCAAAGAGTTCAAACTTCTGTCAACCCCGGATAAGAGCACTTTCCGCTTTTGAAGGGTTGTCTTCAACCGAATTGTTTAAAATTGACTTCCCTTTTGCTCCTAGGACTGGCTAGCATTTACGCACAGCGGTGTTCAACTCACGTTTCAAGGAAAATTGTTGTTTGAAAATGGCGGAGCTCCTCGGGAACAAGACAATTTTGCCTTTTGCAAGGTAACTCGAAGGCTCGATTTCCTGCAGAGTAACATAAGAACACCTGTCAAGTGACAGGGAGAAAGCAATTAAAGACAAGTAATATAAGCGTTTGATACTCGCTCTGTTCTTCGATTCTCAACACTATTGATGTTAACTTTTTCTTTACAGGTACACAATTTTACCAAAGAGTTTTATGCACCCCCTGTAGTCATAGTAACAGTCAATCATCTTTACGATAGCAAGAATGTATATTCCATCAAGCCAGAGAACAATGTTCTTAACACTTGGATTTAGGTAAAGTGTTACAACTCATGCCTCTATGAACATAACTTTTCTTGAGATCATTGAGACCACTTTTACCTCATCATAGAAGTCTTTGATGCTCAGACTTTTAACTCCCACTGACCTTACCTGAAATGAAAACCTGATATATTCCACTTTAAAATGGTAAAAAATCGCGATATATAGATACATACATACATATATACATATATAAAATTCCCTGATGAGTGGGCAACCACGAGACAGGTCTGTAGGGATGTATATGTAGTTGTTTTTTTTTTCGCCTACCATAGATTATAACCGCTCTACTATTTGTATCGAGCACTGTTTCACGGACACCAAGTTCAATCCCTCTACTCCGCTCCAGGTTTTTGTTCAGCACTCTACGGCAACCCGCAACATGGAAAAATTCAACCTCAGTTACTCTACCAAGAATATTCCGTTACCATCGCGTAACAACTATTTACAACGTCTCATCGAAAAACCCAGCCATATCTTGAACAGAATGCGCTGGAAGGCCCACTTCTTCCTAAATCCTAACACCCCACCGACATCCAAAAAGAACTATCATCTGCCACCCAGACCTATCAACACTCAACAAGCGTAATGAACTCGTCTCCTCCTGCCGACACAGAAACAAAGCCCTCCTACGCAACAGCTGACTTGACACTTTTCACGCTGCATAAACCACGTTAATTAGCAATTAGTATAGTATATAAGCGATGGTATCGCATTATTCTGCCCTTAAAATCCCCTGATTACTGGGCAACCACGAAACAGGTCTGTAGGGATGTATATGAAGTTGTTTATTTTTCGCCTACCACACATTATATACATATATCTAACTGTCTGCAGTTAGATATAGCTCTTTGGCATACAAAGCTCTGCTTTTATGTCCAAATTGAGCACTGTAGGGTGACTCACTGCCGCTAACATTGCGCATAGCTCACTAGACTTTCCTGGTTTGAGCACTCTGGCATGGCTTAGACGATACCACGAATGTGGGATCGTTCGGGGTAACCATATCGGTTCTTCCCCTTGCTAGCATCATTTAACTTTTCAAGGTGACAGGGTAGGGAGAGCCTATAACCCCATATGAAACCCAACTAAGGATCTATTAAAGATACACGACCGAAGTCAACTTAGCCGATCACAAAGGAGGATCCAATTAGCCAGTATCCTTAATTGGATCCTCCTTTGTGATCCGCTAAGTTGACTTCGGTCGTGTATCTTTAATAGATCCTTATTTGGGTTTCATATGGGGTTATAGGCTTTCCCTACCCTGTCACCTTGAAAAGTTAAATTTCCCGGGAGATCACGTCTCTGATCACGCCAATCACATCTTTGATTGCCGTGTTGCCAGCATGGTTGTCCTGATAGTGTAGTGGTCATCACACCTGACTAGTAACAGGAGGGACGTGGGTTCAAATCCCGCTCAGGGCAAATTTTCTTTTGAAACATTTATTC